GATGTACTGAGAAACCAAGGAGGAAAATGGGAAACAAAAAGTGACCAAAAAACACACATCCAACAAGGCGGAGGCGAGGAGGCCACTAAGACAGGAGACCACAGTTAAACCACATTCACCTTTAAAGGACATTCTTACTCTTGGGCTGGGGCTGGGCGAACGGCTAGCATGTGAGATTCTGGGTTCCATCTTCTGCACCTCTCTCTCTCTCTCTCTCTCTCTCTCTCTCTCTCTCTCTCTCTCTCTCTCTCACACACACACACACACACACACACACACACACACACACATGTCCTAGTGTTTATACCAAAAGTCGGCATATCCGCTACAAAAACAGAAAAGCTGAGATTAGCATGCTGTCCCCAAACCACCCATTTCCTTCCACAAAAAGCTGATTAATTACATGATCACAATGATCACATACCAATGCTAGGTTCAGCCAAATGAAACTTCCTACACTTTGCCAATTTTGAACTGCTGAGAGCATTTCATACAGCTCAACTGAATGACCTACCATCACTAAAAAGAATGAAGTAAATATGCAGGTCATTGTAGAATAATCCCAGTAGCAGATTTTAGAAATAGGTATATATTTATATGTGCAGTATATACACTTATATATAATATACTTATATGTATGAATATCTATGAATATAAAATAGTGATATTTGCTATGTATTTACTTTTTGAGAGAGGGTCTCACTATGCTACCCAAGCCTTGATCTTGAGGCAATCTTCACGCTTCAACTTCCCCAGTGCTGGGATTGAAGGTGTATGCCATGACAGTTAAAGAAATGTACACATGCATTACCATATTTATATACAGAATATATACTTATGCATCCTTACATGTATGTTGTACATATATAATACGCAACACTTGTAAGTGCATAGAAATTTTCTGTATACTTATATATCCTTACATGCATGTTGTACATACCATATTTATATACAGAATATATACTTATGCATCCTTACATGTATGTTGTACATATATAATACGCAACACTTGTAAGTGCATAGAAATTTTCTGTATACTTATATATCCTTACATGCATGTTGTACATATATAATATGCAACACGTTTAAGTGCATAGAAATTTTCTGGAAGCATCCCAAGAAAATGTCACCTGTGACTGCCTCTGAGAGGGAAACCAGAGGTCAATGATGAAATGGCATTTACTTCTCATGGCTATGACCCCATCACTGTACAGTCTCTTGTATTGGTAATATGTCTCCATCACTGTATCGTCTCCCACCACTGTAGAGTCTCTTGTATTGTTAATATGTCTCCATCACTGTTGAGTCTCTTGTATTGTTAATATGTCTCCATTGCTGTATCATCTCTTGTATTGTTAATATGTCTCCATCACTGTTGAGTCTCTTGTATTGTTAATATGTCTCCATCACTGTTGAGTCTCTTGTATTGTTAATATGTCTCCATTACTGTATCATCTCTTGTATTGTTAATATGTCTCCATCACTGTATCGTCTCCCATCACTGTACAGTCTCTTGCACTGTTAGTATGTCTGACTAGATGCATGTATTGTTGTTGTTTGGAGACAGGGTCTTACAGCGTAGGCCAAGCTACAGTCAAATTTACCATCCTCTGGCCTCTGCCTCCTGAGTACTGTAATTAGCACACCCACTGCCAGCATGTATGACTTTTTGAATTATGGAAATGTCTAGATACTTTTCAAATGTCTCAAGTAATGTAATGTCCATTTTAACAAGCAAATTGTTTAAAATATTAAAAAGTATTTAGAATAAGGACACTTCAAATAAGGTTAATTACTTAAACTTCAGTCTTTTTGTTTGTTAGATTTTGAGACAGGGTCTCAGGTAGCCCAGGGCAGCCTGGAACTCCCTATGTAAATGAGGATGACTTTGAACTCCTGATCTTCCTGCCTCTACCTCTGGAGTGCTAGAATTACAGGTGTGTGCCAATACACCTTGTTTCTATGCAGTGCTGGGAATTGAATCCAGAGCTTTAAGCATGCTATAAGCACTCTAATAATGAGCTACTTCCCCAGCCCAAACTGCTATTCCTCACCCTAAACTGCCTGCCCAACAGCTTCATGTTCCTGAGGATCTTAATGAAAACAGAGGTTAATGTTAGTTGTGTCTCAATGACAATATTCATATTACAAGTATTTAATAACTATGCAGTCATACATGAAAAGACATTTGTGTGCATGTGTGCACATGTGAGGAGGTCAAGGTCAGATGTCTTCTTTAATCACTTTGCTCTTTAATTTTTGAGACAGGGCTGCTCCCTGAACCTGGAACTTGATTGGCCTTGACTGGCTCGGCCAGTAAGCCCCAAAGATCCTGCTGTCTGTGCCTCTCCAGCACCTGGCTTTTTCAAACATGGTGTAGTTGTCTACATGAGAACATCCCCCAGTCTGTAGAACTTAAACACTCGGTCCAGTCCAAGGTTTTGTTTGAGGAGGTTTAGGAGGTTTGGCCTTTCTGGAGGAAGTACGTCACTGGGGGCAGGGTTTGGGAGTTTAAAGCTTCACATCACTTCCAATTTGCTCTCTCTGCTTCATGCTTTCACTTCAACGTGTAACTGACTCCTATTTCTGCTGTCATGCCGGTCCCTGGCTGCCATGCCTCCCCCCCCCCATGATGATCTCTTACACCTCTGGAACTAAAAGCCCTAACGAGTTTCTATAAGCTGTCTTGGTCACAGTATTTTATCAGAGCAACAGAGCAGTAACAAAGACACATGGGTATGGGGATCCCACTCAGGTCCTCTGCTTCTACAACAAGCACTTCACACTGAGCCATCTCCCAGCCCTGAAATATCTTCAACTTCTATGAACAACAAACTCAATCCACTTTAGGCCATGTCTACCTACACATAAACACTCAATCAGGAGCATATTGACACATCCCTATGTAAGCATGGATATGTGTATAAGGATGAGAACTAAAGGCACTATTAGTCACCCTAATCCATCATACTTAGTGTTTTTATGCACATTCAAGATATATGAGCAAGAACTGTTAGTACTGTCTCAACAACAACTAAGCTTTGAGCTAGATCTGGGGCCTGAGCCTCTCCTCCAGCCTCTCCCATCTTACACCCCTGTGGAGAAGATGAGGAAATATCTATACTTTTCTAAGGGTGCTTCTCTTCCTAGCTGGATAATACCCATGGTTACCTTCAGTCAATTCTACTTGTACTAACTCCCCCACTGACCTCATCTTCTTCCCTCAGAAGCAGTGTACGTGATAGTAAGAGTCACAGTAGAGAAGTTTATCCAGGCTGGTTTGCAGGAGGTGGGGTGTGAGGCTGAGGCCCACTAGTCTTGTCAACTTAAAGCTCTGGCCTCAGATGTCGGTATTTGAAAGTTTTATATGAATATTAACATATGAGCAAGTATAAAATGCAGGTTTTTCTGATATTCTATTATGAATGAATATCAGAGGCAGTATTCCAAAGCTTGATAATTAGCCATAATTATGGCAGATATTTATCAAAAAGTCAAACAGGAAACAAAAAAATTAATATGCTTTTTACACTTATTTTATTCTTCATAAAAATGCTTTATCCCAAAATTAAACCATACACTCTTAGCTATGACTTCAAGTTCATTAAACCTACAAATTTTAGTAGTAGTTCCCAACAAGTTTATTGTTCAACTTTACTTACTCAGTTCAGTTTATAACCATCCCTAAATTTTCTTTCCAATGGCATAAACCTTACTAGTCAAGCTTGATATCAACATGCATGAAATCTGGACCATTTCAGAAAAGTATATGATGTACCACTTTTAAACCTGCCATTTTTCTCATTAATCCAGTTTTAGGGTTTTTTTTTTAAATTAAAATTTCAAATGTTAAAATCGTTGTTAGTGAAGTCTCTATGTTGGTTAGCTTTAATCTTTGAAAAATACTCTAAATTCTAAACTATAGCAAATGCTGTAAAACTCAAAAACTATCTCTATTAAAAGCAGTTCCAAGATGTGTGAACAAATCTAATAAACAAACGGGGCGGACGCAACCCTTGACTCTTTAGTAACTGTATCTTTACAGCCACTGTCACGTGCGAACGTCCTTAATTTTAGAAGTCAGCTGACGCTAAAACAAACACTAATCCACAGGCATACAGTAAAACTGCTTCCATGTAAGACTCCCATAAGCTTTAGGAAGCCAATTTTCATGAAAATAACTGCAGAAAGAATTAACTTTTACAAATATATTACTAAAGGGAGCATCCAATGATTTAATCGGTTCCCTACTCAAACTCCTCCTCTAAGTCCCTCACTGACAACAGCCAGCCTAGGCGTGAAGACTTTGAAACTAAGATCAAATTTAGAATACACAAATCCGTTAATACTCAGTAGCCCCTGCCTTGTGCATGTTCATCGTCAAATGACAGTTCAACTTTGAGATGGTCAACACAACTCCACAAAAGCACCACACACATAACCAGAAGAGAGAACTTGCGATCAACCACCATGGATGGGCCATCTGATTTCTGCACTGTGTGGGAACTTCAGTGTGGGAACCTGCCACACAGAAGCCTAGCCAACCTGTATGCACAGCACACCAGAGAAACAGACTGGCGTCATCTCCTATCCATCTTCTTAAGTTGCGCCCAGAGAGGAGCAAGCAGCCTGCGGTGGGTAGGAATGCAAGGTGGCAGGCGCAGTACAGGTTCCCAGAGTCTTCCAGTGCAAACAGCTCAGAGGGTGGAAAATCAAACTCCCTTTAAGTTCCCTAAGTGGGAAGTCGCAGCGGGGCTTCAACTTTCTCCCATGCTCCAGCCAAGCCACTGGCTCGGACTGCTAGCCCAGCATTCTGGAACACACCCTGGAAGTCTCCAAACCCTGGGCAGGAATCCCCGGCGCCAGGTCCCGCCCTTGAGCGAGGCCCCGCCCCATCCAGGCCGCGCCCCCGCGCCCCTCCTCCGGATCCCGGTTCCCGGGATCTCCCTGCGTGTTCCCTCCACTTACAGCTCTCCTGCAGGCCCCCAACCTAGCCTTACCTTGGTCCGGATCTGTCCAGAGGTGGACACTTTGCGGATCAGCTTCTGGGGTCCCTCCTGCTCCGCTTCACTGTCGGACGAATCCTCTCCGGGTCCCGCAGCGGTGGGGGAAACCGCGCCGGCCCCAGCAGCCGCTCCTGCCGCGACTCCCGGAGGGTGGTGCTGGCTGCCCGCCCCAGCCATCCTCTCTGGTTCCTGCGGGGGATACAACAGTGCCCCGAGGGGCTGTGGTCAGCTGCTGGGCTCTGCCCGAGCGTCCGAGCCCCGCGCCTAGCTGGCGCCATCTTCCGCGGTCCTGGCCGCACGGCTCAGGGGACCGGTGACCGCACGGCGCCCCTGTGGGGACCGCCGGTTCCTCTGCGCGCTTCACGCCTGCGCACCCAGACTTGGGATGTTCTGGGATTGCTGACCCCAGGATACGACCAGCACCGGAATGAGAGGATGGAGGTCTGGATAAGGCTCGGACAACCTTCCTCTTACTCCTTCTAGGGTCTGGGGGCCTAGAAGGAATAGAGGGCAGAATTGGGCAGGAGCGCACCAGCAGGTCGGGCGGTGGCGATGCTCTTCCCCTGGTTCTGGGCTGCAGGACTGAGGGGAAGGCTCCTGCGAGGGAAAAAAAGGAACATGGAGCTTCTCCTACGCCCTGGGGTGCACTCCTGGACCCCGAAACTCCACACACTCGGGCCTCGTGGCACCGTCCCAGCTAAGTAAAAGTTCCCTCTGCCTGGGATACGGACTGGATCTCCGGACCCTCAACACCACTCCAAGGACCTTACCTCTCCCGCCTCTGCCAGGGAGTTCGGGTCCTTTCGGCCTCCTCTACGGTGATGTTTAGTTTTGGGCCCACCCCCATCCGGCGCACACGGAAGAGAAGAGCATTTTCCGGGAGGTTCAGCTCCGCTCTGGGAACTTTTCGTTCAGAAAGAGCGATTCCCTTTGGCTAACAGGAAGCTGGGAAGGGCGTGGAGAAAGCGCAGAAACAAGAGAGGACACGCAGCCCAGGACGGCAATATGCTGAAATAAATGTCTAAGCTCAAGCGCTCATCCCGAATGCCTGGAGGAATGCATTCGGCCACGTGAACAATGTACTAACCAAAGAATATATATATACATTCACATGAGAGAAAAAGCGTCACTCCCTAGCCCGGACCAGAGCCCGAGGAAAGGGGATCCACAGGCTGTCGCTTCAGCTCTGGAGGCGTCCCTAGCCAGCTGCTGAAGCGCAGCAGCCTGGAAGAGAAACCTCGCTGCACTGAATGCACACTCAACCTCCAAAGTCCTGTACTGGTGGGGAGATACTAAAATGACAAGTTTCCTGCTGTCAACCAAGGAGAACTTCACACTGTTGTCAGCTCTGTTATTTCAATTAAGTAAGAAGTCCCTAGCCTACCCTGGGGGCTCTCCTTGATAGAGCAATCTTTTTAGCCCTTGCCCTTCAGGTCCCTTTCCTATTTGTCAGTTGGCCGTGACCTTGAAAGTTCCTTGAAACTAAATTTCTGGGTTGTTATTTTCCTCTAGGTGCAACCTTAAGCCCAACAATTACTCGGTTCTGTGTTAGAGCTGCGAGCTCTAAGGCATTTTAACTGTACTAAAAATGGGAAATGTGTTTCAATCCTTCAGCGTAAGAGAGTGCTGCCATGTTACATGAATACAAAGACAACCTCTCACGCTTCAGTTATTTCCTTTAGTAAAGGAAGGAGTGGAGGGAAATGGACTTCAAGAGTTCTTATGGCCCGATAATATGAAATTCTGTATCTACAAGAACATACTGCTGGGAAGCCTTTAAGAGGCAATAAAATTAAATAATGGCCTTGGCTGGGGCTATAAATCAGTTCTTGCCTAGTGTACAGAGGCCCATCACAGCCAAAAACAAAATAATGCCCTTTTAATGACCTTTATCCTGGTCGGGCTGTTGGATCACAGATAAGTCTAGTGATCTGGCAACACAGACCCTTAGCAAAGGGGTCTTTACATAGTCCAGACTTTCCTTTTTAATGTAAAATGCATTGAGGTCACAAGCTGGGACCAAAGTAAAAAAACACGTGATTACGATTCTAATGTTCTCTTCACCACACTATATATAGCTAAAGGTCAGTTTGGCCGTTATCACATACTTCAATCTACACATTAAGCTTTCAAGTTTTATATAGCAACATTTTCCAGAATCCAAGCAAGGGTGATTGAACTGAAAGGTGGTCTAACGCCCATGCCTATTTTGTGATCCTTGGAAGAAGATGGATTACACTTCTCACTCTTTGAAAGGATGCTGATTGCTTAAAGATAGTTTTAAACAGCGTCGTATCCAGGAGCTAGGCAATTAATTCCCCAAAGTCCGGGTATTCGTTACTTATAAGAACTTAGCCTTGCAGCCAGCTCTGCTCAATAGAGAGTTCAGCGGCAAGTTTCTAAAGCTTGTAAGGGTGACGGCGAAGCCAGTCTAAGCCTGTCAGCTCAGTAAATGACTGCAGCTCCACATCTGCAGCTGTGTTTCCTCCACAGCTGAGGGTTGAAAACACTGTAGGCAAAGGAAGGAAAGCTGCCTCATTTCCCACAAAAGGCAGCTCAGGAAAACCCCGCCGCCGGAGAACCATCTCTTCTGAGAACCTTTCAAGGAATCCCCAATTTAAAATAACAGCTGACCTACTAACTGCTTCTCTGGTCCTAGGGGTAAATGTCCAAAATGGATATCTAATCCAATTGAAATGCACGTCACCTTTTCTTTGTTTATTTTATTTTATTTTGAGATAGCCTCACAGCACACCTCAGGCTGGCCTGGAGTTCATTCCATAGCCCAATCTGACTTTGAATTCATGGCAGTTCTGCTGCATCAGCCTCTATATCTCAAAATGGCTATTGAAATTTCAAATATGTGGCATATCGCCTTATTTGATTTATAAAAAGTTCCTTGACTTTTTCTTTAGGGTTTTAGGTTTTTTAATAATTTCTTCAATGCTGCTTATGTATTTATTCGTATTACTGTTACTTTGAGATCTCTGCCAGGTGGTGGTGGAACACACCTTTAATCCCAGCACTCGGGAGGCAGAGGCAGGCGGATCTCCGTGAGTTCTGAGTTTGAGGCCAGCCTGGTCTTTATAGTGATTTCCAGGACAGCCAGGGCTACACAGTGAAACTCTGGGGCGGCTGGTGGGTGGGGTGGGGGGTGGGGGTGTTCCATGTAGAACATATCACCAAAACTGTTTAAAATTCACATATGGGAGGTTAAGGCAGGAGGGCTGCCAAGAGTGTGAAGCCAGCCTGGGTTACATAGTAACAGGCCACCCCCAAGCAAGACAGCAGAATCTTGTCTCCAAAGAACAGCATCAACAAAAATTCTACAGATGTTACAGTCAGAATTAAATGCAAACAAGTTAAGCTGACCCATAAATGGTTTTCGACTTAAGAACGTGTCATACTCCATTAGGAAAAAAAAAAAAAAAAAGTACTGAAGAGATGTAAGTCAACGCCAGACATGCGGATTAAAACTTTATGAACACTATATTACTATTTACAGAGGTATTTTAAATCAATCAACTGCTAACAACAAGGCGGATGGATAGTCACTTGAAGTGTTTAACCCCAAGTTCTATTATTTTACATTCAAATTTTGATATAATGTGACAAGGGTTACATGTCATACGCTGAAAATCACAAGTAGGTACTTTAGGAAGCATGTTCTAGAACTCATGTTCCTGTTCAGTACGGAATCAAGAGACTCTGCAGATTGAAGGAGCACAGGCCTGGGAGGCTGCCATGACTGCAGTGTGGAACCATTTCCATAACAGACTACTTGTTACGTATTCGGAGGCCGCTGTGACTGCAATGTGGAACCATTTCCATAATACACTACTTGTTACGTATTTGGAAGTTAACACTCGAAAGGTCTACCCTGTTGAAACTTTCTTAGTTGTTATCCAGATAACAAAACATTCCAAGAGCAATGGTGCTGTAAATCATAGGAACATACTGTGGTCCTTGTGCACACCGCAAAGCCTCTCATCATCCTGGCATAAAGAGCAACTGTGTAACCTCTTGTCTGCATTTTGGCCTTTTTGCTTTAAAACCTTTCCCTTTCTTCCTGCCCATCAATCCTGGATTATTAACTGGTATATTGTTAACTCGTAACACTAACTGGTACAAAACCATTTGGAAATAGAAACGAACTTTAGAGAATGAAGCATATTCAAGCTTCCCACAACTAAAAAAGGTATTTTGTAAATACCCCTACTTTTTTTTTTTTCCGAGACAGGATTTCTCTGTGTAGTTTTGGTGCCTGTCCTGGATCTCGCTCTGTAGCCCAGGCTGGCCTCGAACTCACAGAGATCCGCCTGCCTCTGCCTCCCGAGTGCTGGGATTAAAGGCGTGCGCCACCGCAGCCACTGCGACCACGACCACCACCCGGCTATACCCCTACATTTTTAAACTGAACTAGAATTCCAATCACCTATCTTCTACCCACTCCCACTCAAGATTAGTGACTGCTTTGCTAAACCTCTTCCTACCCATTCATTCCCAACAGCAAAATACTTTGATTCTGTTTATGTGTTTATTTTAGTGAGACAAACCCAGGGCATCACATAGACGCGTCCTCTATCAGGATCCTACATCTCAGCCTCCAATCACTTTCTCTAATTGGTTGTTTTTTGTTTTTGTTTTTTATACAGAGTCTCAATATGTAGCCCGTGCTGGCCACAACTCTGAGCCTTCCTTCCTCAGCTGTGATTACAGATGTGCAGTACCACACCCAATTCCCCAAATACTTTTTTATTTGAAATTTAACTGATGCCTCTATTTCCACTAACACTTGACTATATTCCAAAGCTAGCATCAAAGAAAACAGAAACTTAAATGATAGCCTGTATCTTCAAGTTCAATACTTAGCCAGAACAATGCTAAATAAAGCTAATAATGTATCCAAATATTCTGATTTAGCTAAATAACTTAATTTCACCCTGTCACAGAGAGAATGTCATGAAGCCCCAGAAACTCCCTTAGCACCAGACATTGGTACACTTTAGCCAAAAAGTACTGTTGCTTTTCAGGTAGCCATATAATCTCCAAGGAATCCTTTGCTTTTCTGTCTGAATAGTAGAAACCATACCATCATGGTTTAGGCTCCATCAGAAGAGAGAGAGAGACAGAGAGAGAGAGAGAGAGAGAGAGAGAGAGAGAGAGAGAGAGAGAGAGAGAGAGAGAGAGAACAAATTCTCACATGCATGCTGTTACATGCTATAATAATACAGCAATCCCACCTATTCAACAGGTCTTTTTCACAAATGTAAACTTGCAAGCCTGTATGGTAAAGTATTATTAAACTGCCTATATTTAAATTTTTTAAAAGGTTTTTAAAGAACTCAGAATTGGAATCCAAGTGAAAACAGGTTTGTTTTCTTTGCTGTTGTTTCATTTGTTTTAAGAGTGGATGGGTTTATTTTGGCTCAGAGGATAAATGCATCTTGGTGGGGATGGCCTGGCAGCTGGGGCTCCACCTGTGGTAGCCAGAGCATGCACCAGCTGCTTGTTCTGCAGAACCTACAGGAAGCACTGGGGGAGGCAGGTATCCTCAACCTGAGAGTCCCTGAGCACACACACACACACACACACACACACACACACACACACACACACACACACAGACTGGATCTAAGGAAACTTGTGACGCCACTAAGTAAGTGTGTGTGTGTGTGTGTGTGTGTGTGTGTGTGTGTGTGTGTGTGTGTGGGTGTGTGTAAGACACTGGTTCCTCAGGCCTACAGAGGCTAGAGTAGTTAGTTTTCTAAGTATACTGTGTGCTGCTTGACTGTATGTCATATAGGTTCATTCTGAAGGAAGCCAGAATTCCCTTTATTCAGATTCTTGAGATCACTGAACCAAACAAAGTTAAAGAACATGATTTTTGAGAATTCCATGATGCCTGGAATCCTAGTACTCTGCTGAGGCAAGGGCATGGGAGGGAGTTCCAGGCCTGCCTAGGCTATCCAGTAAATCCCAAGCCAGACTGGAGTACAGTGTGAGACTCTGTCCCAAACATAAAGAAACAAAGCCAATTCTGATGGACCCAGTGTTCCTTCAAAATATATTTAGATTAAGTTAACACCAATCCGTTTGCTCCACATGTCAGAAATATTTAACATTTAAACAGTTTCGCTCTAATGAATTTCCCTTTCTCTTGTACACGCTCCTTTTCTAGTAATGCAGGTAACTCAACTTTCTTAAGGAATTATATAAAAAGATTTCCTTCAAAAATGCTTAAATGTTGTAGTCATTACAGAAGGTTCAGAATAAAAGCACTAATAATAAATGTTGTATGACATACTTAAACAGGTTTCACTCTTTAGCTAGAAGAATGTAAGCTTCCTGGGGACAAAACTTGCCTGAGTGTTAGCAGCTTGCCCAACCATCACAGAACATGATAGGTGTTGGATAAAAACATCTGCTGAACAAATAAAATGCCTTAGCCATTTAAATCCGCCGACTTTTTAAGAGTTCCGAAGTCTAGCAAGTATCACTGCTCTCACAACTCTGTGAAGGTTTTAGTTTTAAAAGTTCATGTCAGGGGACTAGTGCTGAATACTTTCTGTAAGAATAAGAAAGCACCTTGGTTCTTACCACTTTTGAGAAGAAAACGGAGGTCTCATTTTCTAACTGCAAAAGTACTCCTGACATTTATCACCCCAAAAACACACTAACACATTACTCAGGTTTTTCCACTGTGACTGGTGTAGGCTGACAGGACTTCATATAGTAAAGTTCAAAGCAGGTCACTGGATTTAATTCCCAGTGGCCTTAAATGTCAAAACTGAATGCTATTCCTAACCAAGCACAGCTTACCACCCTGATGGTGAAGGCAATAGAAGATGAGCAGATGGGCTACCTAACTTGCAAATTCACCAAAGCAAAAACAGCTGCAGAGGGACCAAAGTCGAAGGACACTCATGAAAGGTCAGGAAGCAAGAGGCAGCGAAACGTACCCTGGCCAAGGGGCTGGAAGTCTACGGGTCAGAAAAGGAGAAGCAAGATGGGCACCTGACCTACAAGCTCTCAACAGGCAGAGGGCTCGCCTGAGCAGACTCAGGAAGTCCCTGGGCAAACATCACCCCGAACAGCAAGCGCCCGCAGCAGCACGGATGAAGCTAGAAATTTCGGACCAGGCTTTTGAGACGCGTTCACAATGTCAACCAAAAAGGAGTAGCAAATACGCAAACAGGGCGTGCAGAGCCGAAATTCATTGCCCACTCAAGAGTACGGGGGTCTGCGTGGGATGGGTATTCCTGGGAGGTATCCCTGGAGGGACTGATACCAGAGGGTTCTGTTTGAGATGCAAGAAATAAGTTAAAGGAGTTTAGGGAACAAATTCAAAGACCCCAACTCTCCTCATCTTCGCACACACAACACACGCACCACTCTGGGCCCCTAAAATGACTCAACCTCCGCGTGGCGTGTGCCGTGAAACCCAGACGAAAGCTTAAGTTGACTAGGTCGCTGGATCCCGGACCAAGTCCCCTGATCCCCCGGAGCAGCCCGGGGCAACCGCAGCCACCCGAGTCGGAGGCGTGGCTCTGGGCTTCAGGCTGCTACTCGCCTCCCCAGGCGGCGGTCCTCGGGAACCTGCGCGCCCAGGTGACTGCCAGGGCGCGGTTAAGAGGTGAGCCCCGTCTCCTCCCGGCGCCACCCGCTGACCGCACAGCCCCGCCGCCTCCTCTCCCCGGGCCGCCGCGCCACACTCGGGCATGAAGTGCAAAGTTGGGAAGCGGATGAAGCGCGGAAACGGTCCTCGAAGGACCGTCGCCAGCCAGATGCCCCTCGGGGAAGAGCTCCAGCCGACCGGACAAAGGCGCTCCGGGCGGCGCGCGAGGAGGAGCCCGGGCGCCGGAGGAAGCGCTGCCCCGGCTGGGAAGCAGCTGGGGACCTCATCCCGGACCGCTTCCTGAACGGAACCCGGGCCGGGAGGGGGGAGCAGGGAGCAAGGACAAGCGGGAGGGATGGGCGCGGGCGCGGTACCCACCGGTTCCTCCCAGGCCGGGCTGCGGGCTCCGAGCGCGGGGCGCACGTGCTGCGGCTCCATCGCGCCGGCCCGCGCCCGTTGGCCGCCGGGGCGCACGGACACGGGCCCCCGCCGCCGCTGCCGCCGCTGCCGCCGCCGCCGCCTGTGCCTGGCTCGCCGCGATCGCTGTCGCTGCCGCCCGGGCTCCCGCCCGGAGCCAGCCACCAGCCCTCCCGCGATCTCTGGCTTCCGCCGCGCTCGCCCGCCCCCGCGCCGGTCCCTTCCTCCGCCGCCGCCGCCGCCGCCGCCTCCGCAGCCGCCTGCGTCCCGCTCCCTGGCGCGGCCGCGAGCGCTCGGCTCCCGGAGCCGCCGCCGCCGCCTCCCACGGCCACAGAATCCGCCCCTCGCTCCTGTCTCCGCCCCCGACTCCCTCCCCTTTCCTCCCGCCGCCCGCCCCTCCCCCCAGCCGCCCCTCCCGGCGGGCGGCCCGGGACGCACGTGACCCCCCTGCCAGTCCTTATAAGGCGCGGAACCGAAAGCGGCCACCGGGTGGTCACGGGCACCGGGCGGTGGCATCGCGGGGAGAGGCGGCCTCCCCGAAGGGACCGGGCTCGCCAGGAGCTTCGGGGGAAGTCGGGGGCGAGTGGCTCGCGCCGGGGGGAGCTCGTCCTGGCATCCCTTTCCCTTGGCCTCCCTCGCTCGGGTCTCCTGTAGCCCCCGCCGGCCGCCTCTGGAGCCGAGGCTGGAGCATTTCCCCCAGGACAACACCCGTCTTCAACAGAGCGAGGCTGCGCTTCGCACCCCTGAGCAGCTCCCCAAGCACCCCTGCCAGGGGTGGCCCACTCTGGGCTGCTGGGATGACTGGCTGGTTTGCCATCTGCAAGAGAGGTTAAGCTCGGGGAGCCCTGCTTTTACTCATTTTCTATGGCTAAACAGTTTCGTGGAAAGAAAACCAGCTAAGGAGCTGGTCTGCGGTCCGCTGTGAGCGCGCCACTCGAATTAGGGGCAGGGACAGTTAAGAGAGACCTTAAATGTCAACTGTCTCCTCCTGCTGCTTTCAGAGAAAAAGAAAAAGAAAATTGCAACTAGCGTTTCAAATCATCTTTACTGGCAGTGAAGACGGTTTCCATCTAGTTCCAACAGAGCAGTGACTGCATTACATGGGTCATTTCCTCTCGTGGACTTTCAGGCTCCTGCCAGCATCTTCTCATGCCCCGTAGTCTGGCAGACAGATGCATTCACACGTTTTGAAACCGAAAAATCAAAACACTTACCTGATCCAGCATGCTCCCACGTCATTCTAATTTCCGCGGCTAATATTCCACTGGAGCTGATAAAGGTCACCTAAGGTCTGTGGAGAGAGCCTAAACCACTGGATGTTTCCCAGCCCTCGCCTTCTATGATTAGATTTGTGTTCCTGAATCTCTCCTTTAAATTAGCCCTCGATAGTTGGGTCTTCTTGTGTTTCTGACCATGTTTTGTTAAGTGACCTCTTACGCACTGAGGTGCCCAAGTAGCCTGCCCTTCATTTATTTCTAGTGAGGGTGGGGTAGAGTGAATGAGTGGTCTATCAGGTCCTGCCATGCCTTGCTTTTAGTTACCAGCCAGATGATAACTCACATTTCCATCATTTCCGATCAAGCTGCCTTCACCCCTGAGCACTAGGGCTACAGCGGTACCCTGGGGCTCAAACCCAGGACTTCAATCTACCAACCAAACTACGCGCCCAGACGGGAAGCAAACTTTTTTTTTCAAACATATTTTTTAACTTCTTTACTTTTATTTTTTGCTTACATGTATGTGTCCGTGTGGGGGTTTGTGCACGTGAGTGCAAGTTCTCATGGAGGCCAGAGGCACCTAATCCCCCTGGAGCTGGACTTACAAACCACCCAGAGTGGGTGCTAGGACTCAAACGCCCTGTCCTCTGCAAGAACAGTGTGTGCTCTTAATGGCTGAGCCATCTCTCCAGCCCAGAAACCAGCCAGCTTCTTAACCAGAAATCTCTACCTCTTTTCCCCCTGGCCTTAAATTCAACCTGTCTAAAACAAAGTGCTTTCCTGACAGCTGATTTCTCTCTCGAGTCTTATGTAAATGTCACCGCAATTCACTTAGTCATGCAAAGGAGAAGGGAAAAAATATTATCCTAGGTTCCTCCTCTCTCGCTGTTCTCTTCCTCTCTCTTCCTCTCTCTCTCTCTCTCTCTCTCTCTCTCTCTCTCTCTCTCTCTCTCTCTCTCTCTCTCTCTCTCTCTCTCTCTTTCTCCCCCCTCTGGCCTGGCTTCAGGGTCCTGGTTTCAGACTCCTGCAACTTTTCATTCCTTTCTTATTAATTCTGAATTTTGTATTATATTTTTATTTATTTGTGTGTGTGCCCATGCACAAATGTGGAGGTCAGAGGCTAACTTGCAGGCATTGTGAGTGCTGGGTATTGAACTCAGACCATCAGGCTTGGCAGCAGGTGCCTTTACCCACTGAGCCGCTCCTTCAGCCCCACTTATTAGCTGTGTTGCCTCTAAATGGTTGAGATGCCATCCCTCTTGCTGTGACCAAAGTTAGCCTCCTGAAGAGTCAAGGTTTAATCCTAATATCTTAGCTAGAGCCTACCTCAACAATTCTTTCCAATGCTCTGAGTTCCTAGCAGGCAGCTCCCCCTCAGGCCACCTGTTTTTATGCTGTGCCCTCTTCTGGAATGTTCTTCCTCTTACTCAGCCTATAAAACACCTGTTCATCTTTCACTTTTCACCCCGAGGGTTACCTTCCTGACCTTGCTGCGTGGTAAAAACTGTCTGCTCCCTCCACTCTGACTACATGCCACCTCTGACCACCCAGTCCTATCATAATGCCTTAGAAGACTTTTTAAGTTAGCTTTTACATATAATTTTCTTGGTAGGAAATATTATAACTGACTTGCTCCATCTTCCTGGCTCCAGTACAGTTCTCAACATGTGTTTCTCAAGTTTGTTGAAAGAATTGTGATATAGTCTGGGGTATATTTTTGAGGTTCTTAAAAAAAAATCAGTTTCCCCTGTATTGTCTCATTTCATTCTCACAGTTCTCCATAAGATGTGTGAGTGCCTTTCATAGGAAGCAACAACTCCCAGAGCCACCTGGTAGAAGGAGTAACCTTATTCCCAAAAGTTGTTCACACACACACACACACACACACACACACACACACACACACACACACTTGTAGTCACACCGTGTCCAGCACTCTTATCCTCACAAACACACACACTTGTATACACACCATGTCCAGCACTCTTGTATACACACACACACACACACACACACACACACACACACACACACGCTGTAAAATTTTAAAAGAGAACTCACTAAAGCTGGAGAAGAAGAAGAAAACGATTTGCCGGAGGCCATCTTGTGTAAATCCAGGAGCCAGGGTTACAATCCAGATTACGTCTTTACCTTGGCTACATGTGCAGCTGTCTCTGTGGTCTGAATATTTATGTCTCCCCATCCCTGTTGAAATCTTCACTTCCTTGAGCACTTACGGAAGTGGTTTGGTCCTGACAGCAGATACTGTAGAAATGGGATTGGTGTCTTGTAGAGAGGTTGGGGTGCTGGAGAAATGACTCAGTGATTAAGAGCACTCGCTGATCTTCCAGAGGACCCAAATTCAGTTCCCAGCACTCATATTGGGCAGCTCACAGCTACCTGTAACTCCAGCTCCAGGGCTACCTGCAGCTCAGCTACCTGCATAAACACAGTGCACATATAGGCATGAGGACACACACACACACACACACACACACACACACACACACACACACATAAAAGGATTAAAAAAAGCAAAAAAAGAACACCATATCTGTTGTCCTCTCACACTAAATTCTATCTTGCATAATACAGTGTTGTTGGGTTTTATTTTTTGAGTTTTTTTTGGTTTTTGTTTGTTTGGTTGTTTTGTTTTGTTTTGTTTTTTGCTACTGATTACACAGTATACTTATTTTTCAATTGTTCCAAGTCACTGTGCTTTCAGGGTGTCTTCTATATAAACAGTTTGATCTCACACCACTATCTGACCAGTCTGAGAGCCTGGCTTTTAGCGTTCTTTGTAGATCTATTTTCATTCATAGTGTATATGAATCAGAGTAAAGGGCGCTTCGCTGCTGCCGCCCCTCCCCCACACCATGGTTCCTTCTCACGGAACAGTACACATTAGTAGGTTGTTGGGTGTGTCCTCTGTTCCACATTGCCACCCGCCTCCTAAGGCTTTGCCCTTAATGCAGAGGAGGGAAGTGATATGGCTCCTGATGCAAGAGGAAGAAGAGGCGGGGAGGGGCATGTGCTTCATAGATCTCTGCCGACATCAGCACATGCATGGCTGAGAATGTTCCTTTAACTTTCTTTCTCCAAAGGCTTGTGAATCTTCTGTTTTAATATTCTCCTGGGCCTGAATCACAGTTTCGTTGTCTATGGAATTCTACATTGAAAGGGATTAACGCCAGTGTTTGAAGTGCCTGATCATCTCTTGGCATCTAGGGCTGGCAATAAGAAGCCTACCCACGGTCTCAGTACTCTACAGGTATCTTTCTGTCCGACACATTTTCATATTTTGAGTTTGTGTTTGGATTGATTTGAATCAAAGTGGATTTGGGTTTTAGGTTTTTTGTTTTTTGTTTTTTAAGATCTTGAGATCTTGATACTCATTTGTGGTGGCGCACGCCTTTAATCCCAGCACTCGGGAGGCAGAGCCAGGTGGATCTCTGTGAGTTCGAGCCCAGCCTGGGCTACCAAGTGAGATCCAGGAAAAGGCACAAAGCTGCACAGAGAAACCCTGTCTTGAAAAAACAAAACAAAACAAAAAAATAAATCCTTTGAATCTGAAAATATTTTATTTTCAAGTGTTACTTTTCTTCATTCCTGCTCTGTGGAATTTTCTCTACTTTGTTTCTATAACTCATACTAGATGTGACTCTGAGAGTTTTTCATATTATCCTCCAGATCTTGATTTTTCTTTCATATTTCTCTTCTTTGCTTTTCTTTGCTGGTCTTGGAAATTTTTCTCAGATGCATTACCCAATTCTCTAATTTTATTGGCACCTAAGTTTAGTGGGCTGCTCCAGCGTCACTTCTTTGACAAGACAAGGCTTTGCTGCGTACCCCTGGTGGCTGCCCC